ATGTGTTTGAGGAAATATGTATATTGTCGTTGTTTTCAGCCTCTTGTTTTAAAGAATGTTTAAAAAGGGATATAAGAAACTTTCTACTTGAGGTGCAGATTGCTGATAACGGAAACAATTTATAGGAAGATCATATGTTAATCAGACTTTATTAAATTACTGTTGCTTAGGAATGAGAGGAGGTTAGGGACTATGACTAAAAAGGTTTCCTTAATTTTTTTGCCTCGCATGTGCTAGAGTGTGAGTATGTGAAAGTTTATATTGTCTCTCTCTCATCTTTAAAACATGCATAAAATATTTTGGTCGCGCATCAACAGCTTTGCAGTTTCTTTAAACTTTTTCTTTACAAAGTTCGTTACATTCTTTTGTACATAGAAGCAGTAGTTTGAGTGATGATTTGGGAGATGATGATCCTATTGGCTGGTTTGAAGTGGAGGAAGAGTGGGATGAAGTTGATGTCAAAATGCAGCGATGCAGAATATCCCAGGTAAGAAACCATGAAAATCCATTGGCCCCGTCACAGTGGTCAGAGGCTCCTCTCTGTGCTTTGTTGTAATGCCAGTTGAAATAAAAACAGCTCTTTTTTGTGCAGGGAGAACTCCTCTGGGTAGAGGTAAAAATCAATGGGCTTCTAGCTAAACGAATGTCTTGACTTTTGTCCTTTTGAGTTTTATTCTTTTTCTCTGTATAGCTGTAGTTAAATGGTGCTTCAGGATCAAATTTAATGCAAAATTATGTGATAATGTGCAGACTAGTGGTTTTATCATGAGGAAATATTTCTAAACAGGATTACGTGATTGTTGCTTTATTCTAAGACCTAGACGAAGTAACTATTGCATAGTTGCAGCGTTTATTCTTGCAGAGCCATGTTCTTCAACCCTTGTTTTAAGGGACAGACAGTTACTAAGTGGTTCCATCAGCTAGGTTGATTTCCTTGAGGAATGTGGGACTTTTCTGTTTCCAAAGTAACACAATATGGATTTCGATTTGTAGTGCTTAACTAGGAAACTTTGCTTTTCAGACCCTGTGTTTATCTTGTTTCTGGAGTCAGCTGTTGTGTAGTTTCCCAATCCTGTTTTGTACTGTGGAAATTAGCAGAAGTGGTGGCACAGTTACAAGTCAACTGGGAATTTTTCTAAAACCGTCGCTGCTTGCTGAGACATTCTGCTGTTGTCTGTGTAAACCTTGGTCCCTTAGGCTTATGAGTGTGCAGAGTTACTAAGTTACGTTTGGATGGCAGAACTTGCTGTTCCCTTCAGCTTTGTGTTCTGTACCTAACTGTGGACAGATTGCATCAAAGCATGTTTTAAATATTAGTTATTGATCCTCTGCTTGCTTTTAAATGCAGCTAATAATTTTTTTAACCTGCAGAAATGCTGTGACTATAATGCCAAGCAACAGAATATGCAGAATGAATGAAAGCTGATAATGAATTAACTAACTTTTGAGATGCTTGTAGGTATCACAGAACCATCACTGACTTTTTTGGAAGTGAGGAGAGTTCAAGCATAGCCTGAATCTCAGGTTCAGTATTTTGAACTTATGGGGGTGACTGACAGAGAGCAAGGCTTGCCTCCCCTACCTCACTTGCAGTCTCCTCACATATGTGCTCTCATGTCTTTTAAAAGCCAAATTTGTACTAACTTTTAAGACCAAATCTTGTGTTGTGTCTACATCCTTCTAGTACTTGATGATAAAGTTCTTGTGCACAAGACAAGACACAGCAGAACGGCTTGGAGTTCAAGGCCTGAATGTTCTTGGCTATCTTCGACCTACGCAAAACGAGCTCGATAGGAGCATGAACTGTTTGCAGTGCAGGAAAACTGATGATGATACAGTTTGTGGCACAACTCTTCTCCTGAAGACGCTTCATTTTATCCAGCAGCTGGCACAGGACTTGGTATTCTTACTTCTTAGTTATTTTTAAGCATATATTTACCATGCTAAAAGTAATAAGGCTATGCTAACAGTGATTGTGAATGGATAAAGAAAAGTCTTGCTACTAGGTACTAGTAACTGTTAAAGCCATGCTGTGGAGAAAAAAAATGGTTTCTGAAAAATAGCGTTCTCTGTATATTTATTGAAGTTGACTAGGAATATAGTCACTTTGGGCCCAAAAGAGAGTTAAGAGCTGTTTTTCAGCATCAGGTTACAATGCTAGGTGAAGTAGATGTAACAGAAGGATACTCTACTATTAGATAGTGTAGCTATTTCTGAAGCAAGCATGGGTGAAAGTGCTTAGAGAGATAGGTAGAAAAGTCGCATAAATTAAAACATGTCCTCTTTTTATATGAAATAATTTTGTAAATATCTAGGGTGAGAAGTATACAGTTAAAAGTTATGGCTGCTGTGTGCTGATGTATGTCAGCATGATGTACCCTGCTTCGGAGGATACCTGTCAGAATCATGTTTTGTTCATACAGTCCATGCATCTATGCCTTTTCAGCTTGAATTCTGAACCATGGGCAGTCTCATTTTGGCCATTACTTACTTTCAGTTAAATTAGATGAAGAGGTAGAGGTTGTAAAATCTTTTGGTGGAGGACAGGGATGAGGGACTAGACATCTGGAAAGAGGAGAATCCTTATTAGTAGCTCTGTGAAGGGGAAGGTTTCAGCACAAACTGTTGCATTTAGACACTGGAATATCTGTGAAAGAACTTACTGTAATCCATGTTAGCTGCAAGTTTATAGAAAACTAGGCTGCTTTAAGCCCGGTGCTTAGGGATTTACTTTTTATAAATGTGTTCTGTATAGAGTTAATTTTCCAATCCTCCATTTTCTTTGCCTTTTTAAGGTTCAACAGAAGGAGAGCAGATTAAAATACAAGTCATTTTTAGATTTCACAGGCCTTGATTTGCAGCTGTTCTGGAATTTTTACAATAAACTTCACCAAAAGTAAGTCACTTATTTACTGTGTGGTGAAGCACTAATCTGTGTGTGTATGTATAAATAAAGTATGTGAAGTTTAGTTGCAGCAGTTTCTTCTTCCTAAACTACTTCATTTACATAAATAACATTTTCCTGCTGCTGCAATGTGGGTTTTTAACTGTAATGTTATGTAGAAGCTTGAGATGTAGATTAATTTAGCTGGTAGCTATACTCTTTTTGGCTATGTGCTCTCTGCTCAGTTTTTTAATCCGTCTGTGATGGCAGCTTTCATAGTGTTGTCTATTTGGTGGAAATGAGCTTCTTTTCTAGTTTTAGCTTCTGTTTGGTTTATGCTTTCTTACAGCCCAAGGGAAGAATGCGTCTTTGCTCAAACACTGCTATTGCAGCTTCTTCAGAGGTGCTTCTCTGTACTTACTGGAGACAATAAAACTGCTAAACCTCAAGAAACTTCTCAGAGCAAAACATCTGGTCACGCAGAAGCTGCAGAAGAGCTTTATAGACATTTGTGTGAAGGTAATTTATATTGAATACATTAACTGTTTTGTCTGTTCTGGCTTACAGATGTGTTACAATAGTTACAATTTCGGAAAAGCTATTTATTCCTAGAGGCCAAGTCAGCTACCGTTCCTTTGTTTCTTCTTTGAGTCAGTGTGTGCTAATTAGTCTGTCAGAATGAAACTTTTCTTGATGCTGTGAAATGGTTTTATAGACTTTCTGACAACATGTGTTCTGGAAACAGCTGCAATAGAAAACTTCTTTTGAACGTGTCGCCTGCTTGAACCAGCAGGGAGGGTGGTCCTTTAACTGTAACGTTACTGGAGTTCGTTTATTTCTGATATTTCATATAAATATAAATGATCTTAAAAGGAGCCTGAAAAGTTTATTGAAACACAGGGAGAATTCTGGAGCCAGTGAAGAGAATGGGAATTACACATTAGACTTCATTGAAAGTAGGATGACATCCTCTTTATTCAAGTATACTTTTTTGTTAATTACCTAACAGTCTCCTGAAAAGCAAGCTAGAGGTAAACCAGTTCATATAGAATCTGTCACATCTTGAAAACTTTATTAGCTTTGATAGTTGTCAAGTCTTAATATTCCTAGAATTCATTTACTCAGTGAATAAATATATCCTTAGAAGAATCTTTCTTGCTAGAAATCAAAAAGTTTCCCCTCATTTTCTGTGTGTACAATGGGATTGCAAGGGCTTGATGTTGTGTAAAATAACATGTTTAATTCAGTTATGCCTCTAACATATTAGATGGAGTATTAATTTGAACTTGTAATTTTTTTTCCTTTTTGTATGAGCAGTAGTGGATATGGGGGACAGTAACTTCATGCCAATGAAAATGCTAAAAGAGGAAGTTAAGAACACCCTACTCAGTGGAGCAGCAATCTTTTTCCCAGATAGACAAACCAGGCGACATCAGCTCTTCACTATGATGGTAAACCATTACATGAGAAATTGATTGTTTAGTACTTACTTTCTTTATGCACAAAAGAGGACAAATCTGAGTTCTTGTTGTCAAATAATGTATACTTTGACCCGTTAAAGTAAAAACTTTCTTTTTTTTCTTTGCCTCTTTTTACCCTCCCCCTTCTCTCTCTCTCTGCAGCTTATCCAAAGAAAGAGGAGCTAACCTGCCTTTCTTACCAAAAATGAATAGTAGAACGCAGAAATTAGAATTCTTTCTCACAGAGGAGGGAAACAGAACATATCATAAAAGTAAATCTTTTTCCTTTTCTAGAAAAACATCACAGAGCAAGAACATAAGCAATCTGTGCATCTAGCCTTCAGATCCTTGTGTACCCACTTCAGGTAAGGGGTCCTGAAATTGAAAATAGTTGTCTGATACCCTATGTCTGTTAATAAGTTCATATTTAATCCTTTTTAGAAATGTTATTCCCCTGAAAAATAATTCTGCAAAAGAATCAACTGCCTTTGCTTTAGAAAGGAGAATACTACTATTTAATATGTTTATTGACTGAATAGCTGTATAAAACATGGTCCAAGGTTGGTACTGAAACAGTATATTGCTCTTAGGCTTCTCGTATGCTGTCTTCCTATTTTTCAAGTGATTGTTTGTCCATGGTGATGGTTAGTATTGATTTAATCAGTCTCGAGTCATCAGAACCCAAACTTTTGATTTTCATAGTAATTATACAGTAGGATCTCTACAGATTTGTCACAGGGATAACTAAATTTGTGTTTTGGAACTGTACTACTTGTTGTTGATTAGTAAGAAGATCTTTGTTTTGTAGTGATCAAGATCCAGGTGGACTCCTATTATTACCAGAGAAAGGAGTTTCTACAAATTTTGACATAAGTGAAGTGCTATCAGTCATGGATACCCTTCTGCTAGTGGCGGCAAGAGAGGTAACTGTCTTTATGCTGTTCCTCTTCCTACATCTTTGCCACGATTTTTGTATGTATTCAAACGCCAGCTGCGTGTCTGAGAGGTATGTGAAGGAACTAGCTTTCCTGTTCTCCTGATAAAACTATTCATGGCTATTCAAGTCGGTAGGATTAGATTTTCCAACCAATTGAAATATTTTCCTTTAAGCATTAACATTTCCTAATAGTAGAGTAAGTAATGTATAAGATGAGGTATTTTTCCATAGCATTGAAAAGACCTTATGGCAGCCTATCAACAGTAGGAGACAGAAGTACTCATCCCATATTGAGAGGTTAGAATTGGTCATGCTGCTAAGGGAGGTGTAAATGGAGGAGAGTCATTTACATGTGCAGAAAAAATGTGCTGAGAACATCAAATGACTCATATGTAGCTATTCCTACCTAAAATTGCGATTTATCAAAACAAAACACATCAGCTGCTTCATGGCTTGATATGCTGCTTGTCAGATGCATTTAATCTTTTTTTGTGGGGTGAATGGGATGATAATGTCCATCACAGTTTACTTAGTACATGTTGTATGTCATTCTGCAGCAGAAGAGGATATCTTTTTGTTACGTTCTTTGTTTTTCAGTGTGAAATGATGATGCTGGATGTTGCACAGCAAGAGAGTGCCACAGTCTTGTCTTCCTTATTCTGGTCTGTTCAAGGTAGCCTCCTTTCATGGTGCTACCTGCAACTTAAGGGTAGCGATAATTCAGCCAAGGATCTTGCTGTAGAAATACTTAAAAACTGTAAGTGTTGGCATTAAATACAGAATTAAGTGTGATGTAATACAGGACTTGAAAATGTGATTTTGCAAATTGCAGTATAATAAGGATTCACCAGGGTTTGCCTGAGGCATGCTCATGACTGTTATTTGTAGGCTTATTGAGCAACTTAGAGTTTTAGCCATGCTGATAATTTTATGTTGGGAGAATCTTCAGAAAACATTTCAGTGTTTTTGGGGGTCAAATACTGAAAAAAAACCCACCACCAACAACAAAAAACCAAACAACAAACAGTTACAGACTTTCATTTGAACATTTTGCTTTCTTTAAATGCCTCGTATTTTGACAAGCTCCTGTGTGGTTGTATATATTTTCCTAGATGTTTGTGATAGCAAGAAGAAAGGAACTTACTTAAGAAGTTGGGCGCTTGTAAGGGGTGTTTTGTTACAGTGAGTTTTTTGTTCGGTTGGTTTTCTTATTGAGTAGTTAATTGGGCCAAGTACTGAATGGAGTTGTAATTTTATGTAAAATTACTTAATATTTATGTTATTTGTATATAAATAAGTTTGTTGTGTTCCTGTCTTTTGTTTAAAAATAGGGTAAGGCTATAGCTAAAAATTAGTAGCCTCACTTGTTACTTAAGCTGCATTTCTTAGTTGTGTAAGGAGGCTACTGGATATACTGAGATTGTTGAAACAATCTTGGAGTGTTTGATTAAATTACTCATCTTTTTTTTTTTTAATATCGTTGATAAGCATCACTTGTTTCCACAATAGAAATATCACAGAGAATTTCTCTGAACTGTTTTCACTCTTGAGCGTCACTGTCTTGGGCCAGCAGATGCCTTCCTGCTGTCTGTTGTCTTGTGGACATCACCATGCACTTGAGTGTTTGATAAAGTAAGTTGTGGTAGCAAGTCCTTAAGGTGGCTATTAAGGGTTTTTTTTCTCTTTAGATGTGGGCCAGTTCCTGTCAAATATCAGAACGATTTTGCAGTCACTTTTATCTCAATATAGTGGCAAAAGAGTAGTAGAAAAAATAAGTAACTCTGTCTTTGCTATGGCAACTCGTCAGCTGGTAAGTGAACATTGGGATTTGTACTATTCCCGGGTAGCATGGCTATGGTTATGTGCATTTTCATGAGACCTATGTTTTCTCCTAGGTCATCTTCTTGTTGGATTTTTGCGCTTTAGACATTCCATACTGTACTCTACTACGGGGATTCAGCACTTTGATAGAACCACTGAAAAGCCTTTGTAGTGAACCTCATAAGGTAACTAAAGATACAGACACTATTAAGTACAGTGAAACAAAACTCCCCTAGACCTGCTGTTTGTGAACAGAGAAGGTCTTGTGGGAGATGTGAAGGTTGGAGGACGCCTGGGGCATAGTGACCACGAGATAATAGAATTCTCAATTCTAGGGGATGTTAGGAGGGGGAACACTATAACGGCCAAGCTGGACTTTGGGCGAGCTGACTTTGGGCTGTTTAGAAGTCTGATTAACAAAGTCCAATGGGAGACAGCTCTCAAGGGTAAGGGGGCGCAGGAGGGATGGTTACTACTCAAAAAGGAAATTCTGGAGGCACAGGAGCGAGCTGTCCCTGTGTGCCGGAAGTCGAGCCGCCGGGGTAGAAAACCAGCTTGGATGACAAAGGAGATTTGGGAACATCTCAAAAGAAAAAGGGATGTCTATAAGTCTTGGAAGAATGGGCAGGCATCCAGGAATCAATACAGGGAGGAAGTTAGGACATGTAGGGAGATAATCAGGGGGGCAAAAGCCCAATTGGAACTTAGACTAGCCAGCTCCGTAAGGGACAACAAAAAGTCTTTCTATAAATATATTAATAACAAAAGGAGGGCTAAAGATCCCCTCCAGCCCCTACTGGCCACAGGGGGTACGTTAGTCACTAGGGATGAGGACAAGGCTGAGGTCCTTAATGCCTTCTTTGCCTCAGTCTTTCCCCCCAGCCCCTACTGGCCACAGGGGGTACGTTAGTCACTAGGGATGAGGACAAGGCTGAGGTCCTTAATGCCTTCTTTGCCTCAGTCTTTCATAATAAGGTTAGTAGTTCCCAGGTGAGCTGGCCTATGGTGTCTGAGAGCAGGGAGGGAGAGCAAATCGAGACTCCTGTGATCCAAGAGGAACGGGTCAAGGATCTGCTCCTCCGGCTGGATGCCCACAAGTCTATGGGGCCTGATGGTATCCACCCGAGAGTCCTGAGAGAGCTGGCGGATGTCATTGCCAAACCCCTGTCCATGATCTT